GTTATATATCATGTAAGTAAGATTGTCGTATGTTAATTAAATGCGCGTGCTCTTAGTGCCAAAACACTGCCGTGATACATTTGGAATATCACGCTGAGAAAATTTTACTTTGCAGTTGGCGAATCAGCCGGATAAATTGATAAAGGAATTATTATTGAGCATCACCAAAAAAAGTCAGTTTATGAATGAAGAAACAAATGAAATATCAGATGTATCGAGCATTGTACTCTCCAAGTTACTTTACATAATCGGACACGTTGCCATCAAACAGTTAGTTCATCTAGACGTGTCCATTTATAAAGAACTGAAGCGTAGAAATACGCTACGAGAGATGCAGGGTAAGAAAAAGAAACGAATAACGAAAAGCATATGTACGACATCTGATAGGGCTAAATCGATGAACATGTCAACCTCATCGAACTTGTCAACTATTCAACGAGCCTTTCGAAATAAAGAAACCTCGATATTGAATGAGGATAACGGCGAAGAAGCATTAGAGGGTGCAGTAGACGACGTCGAGGCAGAGTTCGTGACCGGCGTACTCGAACATGAAATTGTTACTGGGGGTGGCTTGCTCGTGAAATTTGTGTACGTATTGAGAATTGCAAGAATAACATTCAGTTATTAGATATTAAAATTAATATACAGGATGGCCCATCGAAAACGACTGAATAACTCTTACAAAAATGATTTTTCGAAAAAACGCAAAAATAGGTCAATTTGTATTGGGAGAGGAACATCTTTTGACGTACAATTCTTACCCTCAACTTCAACCTCCTAAGCGAGGGTGTCAATTCCTAAAAAATTTCAAATGAGAAGGGGGGGTCAAATGATATATCATTAGAAAAGTCTTTTAATTCCCTACATTCCTTTTGATACGTTTGATTTTTTAAATTTGATCAATTCGTTCAGAAGATACAAAGTGTTCAATCTAAAACAAACAAATCTTCATATTTTCAAATGTACGTATTTAGACATCCCTCGCAATTTATTAATGGACTGATTCGATAGATAATTAATAAAGAAAAAAGTTTGAAGATATGAAGATCTGTTTGTTTTAGATTTAACACTCTGTATCTTCTAAACGAATTGATCGAATTTAAAAAATCAAACGTAGGAATGTAGGGAATTAAAAGACCTTTCTAATGATGTATCATTTGATCCCCCCTTCTTTTTGAAATTTTTTAGGAATTGGCACCTACGCTTATGCCCGTATCACACTACGCATTGGAGATTGAGGATTACGAATTCGATCAATCAGATAATTTTAATTTTAATCCGTTTCGTTCTAATTGGCTGAATTCTAATCCTTAATTCGCAATCCTTAGTCTCCAATGCGTAATGTGACACGGGCATTAGAGAATTGAAGTTGAAGGTAAGAATTATTAAGAGACGTCAAAAGATGTCTCCCTCTCAACACAAATCGACCTATTTTTGTGTTTTTTCGATAAATCATTTTTGTAGGAGTTATTCAATCTGTTTCGTTTTCGATGAGCCACCCTATATGTAGCAATTATTTACAGTCCATTGATATTGGATGTGTGTCAATATCCCGATAAGTATAACAATGAGAACGTGCAAGCAGCAGGTTCTCTCGCACTCAGCAAAATGATGACGGTCAGCTCTGAATTTTGCGAACAATATTTGAGACTCTTGATCACCATATTGGAGCGATCGCCATATCCCGGGATCCGATCGAATACGCTGATTGGATTAAGTGATCTTGCTACTAGATTTCCTAATCAAGTGGAACCATGGTCGAAACACATTTATGGCAGGTAAGTTGGTTTTTGTACATCAATTTTTAACATTTAAAATAAAAATCTTAATCAGATTAATAATTAAATTTTATGACATTAAAAAAAACATTTAAAAAAATATTTTAAAAGTTATTAATTTTTTTAAGCTTTTGTTTATACAACAGTTTGTCTTATTTCATATAAAAACAGTAAAAAGATTGGAGGAAGTAAGATGATATTATTATATCAATATTTATCTTGTCTATAGACTTCGAGATGAGGATATAAATGTGCGTAAGACATGCGTTCGTATATTGTCGAATTTGATAATGAGAGAAATGATTCGCGTAAAGGGACAAGTTTCGGAATTAGCCCTATGTATCATTGATGAAGATGAACAGATACGCCGGGATACGAAAGAATTCTTCAGTCAACTTGCTCAAAAAGGCAATGCTCTATACAATATAGTGCCTGATATATTATCACGTTTAGCAGATCCTCAGTTGAATCTTAAGGAGAAACATTTCCAGGAAACCATTAGGTAAGTATTATACTTAAAGTATGTATAGCAGCAAGAAATCTGGACGCTTTGTAAATATTGTTATAATTTGCAGATATATTCTCAGCCTAATGCAGAAGGAAAAGCAAATCGATACTATAATTGATAAGATTTGCACTAGATTTAAATTAGCCGCCACAGAGAGACAGTGGCGTGATCTTTCGTATTGTCTTTCGCTTTTACAATTCAGCAGAAAAAGTAAGTGAGATAATTTATGATTAATAAAACGTAATTTATCAAAAGAGAATAATCCTGTTTTATCTTTCTTAAAGGTATACAACGTCTCATCGAAAGTTTACCATTACTGAAAGAGAAAATTCATTATAAACCAGTATTAGCGGCCTTACGAAGTATAATTGAGCAAACGAAGAAAAAGGTGGATGCGAAAGCAGTTTGTATAGAATTAGAAGAGAAAATACAGGAACTTGTGGACGCTAAGGATAACGAAATGACAGATAATGAGATAACAGACAGTCGTTTAATGCCACCACCATCTACTATTGTGTCGAGGAACAAGAAAAGTATTCGTCGAAGTAGACGTAAGAGTATGACGTCGAGCGATGAAGATGAAGATAGCTCCGATGACTCTGAAGAAGATGACAATGTACTCTTTATAAAATGTAAGTTTAAAATCGATCTTAATGTTAATGTTTTTTATACATTGTTTGTGTGTTATTAAGAGAATATACATACAGCACAATATTATATTAAATAGGTATGCACAATAGAGATAATTTAGATTATAAAATTAAATATTTCAGTAAACATTTGTGTAATAATTGTATATATGTGTATTTTTAAAATGTACACATTGATATCTCAAAGAAAAATTTTATACTTATTTCACAGCAAAAAATAATACAAAAAAGTCATCCAGTAAAGAAAATATTTTTCATGCAAAGTCAAGTGAAGATAATTCTGATGTCAATAAAGACTCGGTTACCACGATATCTGTGAAACACGGTATTGGTTTTTCTAACTTAATTTTTTGTATTGTAATTTAGTAATTAATAGAATGAACAACTTTTGGTATCTGTAGTCAGATTTTGGTGTGAACAATAATATTTATTTGGATATATGCACATATACATGTAAATAAGAAATTCTTATTTACCAGAAATTGTTTTTGAAATTTTAAGTTAGAATTTCATCCACTTACATATACATATATTAACAATTATTTTTAATTAATATATATCATGTATATAATTTATTTATTATATATTACTTTACTCTAGAATTTTTTCAAATAATAAATTCTAAATAATAAATGAATAATGTGATATGTAATAAATAAATTACGTGTATATTATATATATATATATATGATAAATATTGAGTAAAAATAATTTTTTATTCATATATAAATTAATAACAAACAAATATATCAAACATTTTTGAAACTATTATAATATTACTAAATAAAGTTATAGCTCTCTCAGTTTCTATTATTTGCAATTATATATAATTTTGTTATGAACACTTTACGAAAACTGATGATCTGATTGACAATAGGGATAATGTATTCATTATTTCTATGCATGTGTATCTGTGTACAAAAGATGTGATAGAGAATAATAGTAACACAAATTTATTTTACTTTCTTATAGGTAAAAAAAGAGCAAAGGAAGACATACGACGCTTAGTAATATTAACTCGTCGCCGTCTCCAAAACGAACTAAAACGAAAGAATTGTTGCGCGCAACAAGGAGTTCAGTTCGATTACGCAAATGATTTACTTGTAAAATTAAAATATAAAGTTTTTTAACACACAAACGTAATATTATATGAGTTCTATATAGTAACAATAGTACAATTAGTAATTATGTTATAAAGTAAGTATTAAATTTGTTGTACACATTAAGTATAATCGATATTTGAAATATCAGTATTTTTTGCGATATTTAGGCGAAAATCTGGGCTTAATTAAAAATAAAAAGTAATGTAAATTGATGTAGAAAGGTATGATTTTTATAAATAAAGATAATTCTTATATTACTAAAAAGACAATGTAATAGAATAAATTTAAATAGAAGCATTAAAAGACAACGAACTTAGACGCTAATCTTATACAGAATAGTTATATTAATCTTATTTATTAGTCATATCTATTAAAGATGATTAAGCTCCAATTAACTTATTAATTATTGACAATTAATTTATAAGTCACTCACACCAGTAGAATTGTTCACAGCAAAATTTTTATCTATATATAATTTATTGTTTCTAATCTCATTTTTATTTCCGTGTGTCAAATAAAAAATAACTAGTTCTATCCACATTAACAAAGTAATATAAATATTGATTAAGTTAATCGTTGATTAAATTAATCAACGTTTAGTCGCCTTCAGCGTGAATTTTAGATGACATCATCGTTAGATAATATACATATTATGTCATTGATAGTAGGCAGGGCTGGGTATGTATTTGAAAAATAGTATTTATAAGACAATTGTATTTTGTATTTTAGTGAAGCACAAAAATATTTTGTATTTTGTATTTCAGTAATAATAATGAAAGATTGAAAGTATTTTCTATTTAAATACTAAAATTGACAGTTGATCATAATATTAATACATGTTCAGCCCTGATAATAAATATTATTATTATATTATTGTTGGATATTAATTGATATAAGTGTCGGTAATATCTGTGTTAGTTAATTCGTCAATATAGTTGCCAATAGTTGCTGTTGGTGCCGTTGGTGGTCACAAAAGTTTCAGACATGTACCACTAGTGCGTGTTTGTAATCATCATATTTAAGATATTCTTTAGGAAAATGACGTCGATATTGAGAAGCTATTGGAGATTATCGCGAAGTTTACCATTTGCTACGCCAAAATGTAATGGAATATTAATTAGAAAAACGATATTTCTATTGAATTATATAATAACATACGCTTGTGTTTGACAGGTTATGCTGTCGCATCTCCGACATTGATAAGATGTAATACTACGACTAGCAGCGAGAAGACCGAGAAAACTGAGACTCGTCGTATGTACAATTTATTTATTTAACTTAATCATAAATAAGCTATTGCAATTTGTCTAAATTTGGCAGAGGTTATTAATTTTCTCTTTAATTTTTGTTAGCAAAAAAAGTAATACTAAAATGTCGATATATATGTAAAATATTTAACAAAATCATTAGTTTATTCAAATATCTTCGCAGCCACGATACGGAAACCCAGTCATGTTGATGTTGATCGTCTGATAAACTTTGGTCGCTATATCAATGATTGTCTACCTAAATACATACAACAAGTACAGCTGACTGCTGGTGACGAGTTGGAATTGTTAATCACTCCTGATGGCATCATCCCAACGTTTACATTTTTAAAAGATCATCATAATACACAGTTTGTTAATCTGTCAGATATTACTGCTTTAGATGTACCCAGTAGACAATATAGATTTGAGGTAAATTTGCTTTATATGTATATCTATATATATAAAGAAATCTGAATATTTTATATTGACATATAGGCAATAATAAGATTGAAAGACCGCTAATGTTAAACATAATAGTTTTAAATTAAGAAGCGCCATAACGGTCAGAACGTTAAGATGTTGAACTATTGTAAATTCATTTAAATGAATTAATTTTCAGAAATGATAATTGCGTGCCGATATGGTTGTCGGACTTTCAACGCAATCAAATCTGAAATTAATAATCCCCCCAAAATTCCCCAACTTATTGTCTCGTGTAGTCTAAAGGCTTAGGACGCTCGCACGGAATGCAAGAGATCCGGGTTCGACTCCCGACCGAGGCATTATTTTTCGCAATAAGTTTTATTACAGTTTTTAAGTTGGGGAATTTTGGGGGGATTATTAATTTCAGATTTGATTGCGTTGAAAGTCCGACAACCATATCGGCACGCAATTATCATTTCTGAAAATTAATTCATTTAAATGAATTTACAATAGTTCAACATCTTAACGTTCTGACCGTTATGGCGCTTCTTAATTTAAAATTATTATGTTTGACATATAGGGTTATAAATAGACAATAAGATTTTACTTATAAATAAACTATTATGTTGTATTTATCATTACAGCTTGTCTATAATCTACTATCATTGCGATATAATTCACGTATCAGAGTGAAAACGTATACTGACGAGTTGACGCCAGTTGATTCCCTCTACAGTGTATTTAAAGCTGCTGATTGGTACGAGCGAGAGGTATGGGATATGTTTGGTGTATTCTTCTCGAATCATCCGGATCTTCGTAGGATTCTTACAGACTATGGCTTTGAAGGACATCCACTGAGGAAAGATTTTCCACTCAGTGGATATGTTGAGGTAATTATTCAACAAACATTTGTATATCATTGTTTTTAACGTAATAATAAATTGTTTATATTTTAAAGAATTTAATAATAATTTTTGTTAAATTCTTTAAAATATAAACCCCTAAATTTTAATTATTAAATTTTATTAAAAAATCAACGATTAATGTTTCAGGTTCGCTACGATGACGAACATAAAAGAATAGTGATTGAACCATTAGAATTGACGCAAGAATTCCGTAAATTTGAACTAGCCGCCCCATGGGAACAGTTTCCTAACTACCGGGATGCTCCAGCAATTGCTGAACCTATCTCGAAAGAAAAATAAGTGCTTTCATTTAGATCATAGTCACTTAGATCATAATTCGAGCAAGCAGGTATAAATATATCGATAAAGTGTAAAATATATGATAAATATTCTTTTCTCTTGTGAACCATTTCTAAGTGTCCAATTCGGGCATTTGTTTTGGAAATATAGAGAATAATGTTACAACTGTATTTATTTCAAAACATGATCTAGATTGCAACATTTATGTTATTTTCTCAAAAAATTCTAATCTTATGCTATTTTATATTGATTAATTTCGACTTCACCCTTATTTATAAAATATAAATAAAATTATAATTATAAAAATGTAAATAATAATATACACAAATTATAGTATGTGTGAATAAAAGAATAGAATTTAAATAATTTTTTTAATAATTTGAATACGTAACGAGTTAATACGAAAAATGCCAATGAACTCTATTCTGAAACATTAGTTTTATTTTGTGTATTTGTATAGAGTTATATAAACATAATATATTTTTTTATATATTACACATTTTTACAAACTACTTATGATCTACTCATAAGGCATTATTTCCGGCGGATTTCGAAAGAGCCTGGAACGCGAATCGAATCTCTTTCGAGTACCGTAAAACGGCATTGACGCTAGAAAGGCGTAAAATCGACATTTCGCCGGACATATCCTGTTTACACGACCATACAATTACTTGTACTTCTTGCGGATCCTTTCGATTCTCTTATTCTTAATTTAGAAAAAAAGGGCAGCCTCTATTCGAAAGTGATTCTCTTCTGTGGTGACTAAGACCCCTATTCTGTAATTTTGAATGACAATAACAAAAATTGTTATATTGTTATGCAAGTTTTGTACAATGGTAAAAAAAGCTGCGCAACGACAATATAACGACATCGTTACTGTCGTTAAGAGTCACAGAATAGGAAGACGGTGATTCCTTGTAAGTAGAACCTTTTCGATCACTCTAGCATTAAAGTAGCGTTTACATACGATCGAGTTTTTAAGAGACACTATATCTACAGTGCGTGACGGTTTACTTTATTGTAGGCCTATCATAGACATTGGTATACGCGCTAAATTACCTCATCGCATTTTCGTTCCGAAATTAGCAGCAATTACGTCTGCTGTTTCTCTTACTAATTGTAAGTACTCGAATAAAACTAGATTATAGTCTTCGTGCCGGTGGAAAAATTTTACTTTCAGAGAGAGGACAATTACTTTTTTCGGATGTAAGGCAAGAAATTTTCTTTCAAGGAAGGACGCGTTTATGTGTTTCTCAAAAATTCTTATCTCAAAATGTCTATATAAATAATCCGCTTTATAAAAATGAACTACGATGTGTAAGATTGCATTGTGCGATATTTCATTATCGATATAATGGACAATGGCGCATGCTTGGCGGTAAAAATGTGATTAAATTGGAGTCTAAATTATTAGCACAGAGTGAAGTCAATTCCGTTGGATGTAGCTTTTATATCTTAAATTTTTATATCTCAAAACAAATCGATATTTCGTCTCTCGTGTGATTTTCAAAGATCAATAATGTGTGTAATAAATATTTTTAATTGTTTTCATTCTTGAATACATAAAAGAAACTTTTATTTCTAAATTTTTTATATTTCTATTGTATTAATATTATTCATTTTAAATACTTCTTGCATCTCATCATCATAAGTACTAGTTTTAAATGCACTTTATTAATATCTGTTCTCAATTTTGACAATTTTTCGTTTTAATATCAAAACAATATTGAATTTTAATAAAATCATTTTTATCTGCTTTAAAAAGATGAACGATAAACTTATTATTAAACAAATTTATGCTTTAATTTTCTTCAGATTAGAAATTTGCACATGCAATATTCCATTTTACATTATAAGAAAAACATACTAAATAATAGAATTATTTCACTCTGTACACACAATAATCAAAATTGCAAATGAATATAATAGTATTTACAATAAATTACTTTCCTCATTCATTTACTAAGTGTAATGATCCTCATTCTCTCTCTCTCTCTCTCTCTCTCTCTCTCTCTCTCTCTCTCTCTCATTAACTAAATATAATGACAGTATAGAACAAAACGTTTTCGTTTTCCGAAATAAACGTTTTACAGTGTAAAATTTACACGAATTAATTACTTATGTACAAACATTAACTAATTTCTCAAGAGATAAAAAAATGCTTGATATATAATAAGATTTTTTTCCCCACATTTACCGCACCTTGGCGATAAATTATAATAATTATTCAGCAATTAATTATCGTAGACAGTTTGTGTGTAAAGTCGTCGGATTAAACGACTTCGACACTTCTTTCGTTACAACTCGCTCGGTCCGAAAACTTCGTCAATGTAACTTCAATACACGACACTCGTGCTAACATCACAGTTTAATATTATATTATATTATAATATTCGATCACTCACTCTCTCTCTTTTTTACACACTTAAATATATACGCTACTTACGCGACTTTTAAATGACCGCGCAATTAAGCTCGTGCGTGTCCTCGCAAAATGTCGAGTCGCACGCAATTTGACGGTTTAATTTTTTTTTCATAATTTTATATTTTATATTTAATTTTATATTTTTAAATTCGAAAACTTGGGATAATTTTCTCGTTCGCGCGTACATGTTTACGATACACAATCATCCCAAAACTTAAATTCGAATATGTAAAACGAAAAAAAAACTATGATTTTTCAGATACTAACGACGAAGACAGACGTCTATACTTTATATTTTGTTTATTTGGTCTATTATATTTTGTCTATCCTGACGTGCTTTTTCAACGCTGCCTGTTTCTTCCGAATGAACGGCACCATGATCCAAAGAGATGAGCCGAACACCAGAATGATACCTAATATACTGAAGATTGGTCCGTAGCTGCCGATCTGCTCGAACACTATACCGCAAATTGGCGGTCCCACCAATTGAATGACACCGTTGACGAACAACGAGATGCCATAGGACGAGGTGAGTTTCTCCGTGCCCAGCATATCAGCCATAATTACGGCGGTAATACCGACGTAGATGCCGGACGCGAGACCAAAGAAGGCGCAATAAACAGATAGCATGGTATACGTATTGGAAGTGGGCATGATGGCCAAAGAGACGCCAGAGGCGAGCAGACCACCGACGAAGTACCAATGCTTGGGCATGATCTTAATGTCAGAGAGAGCGGAGCCGCCGATACGACCTACCAAGTCGAGCATGGAGACGATCGACAGTAACAACGATCCGTCCCAATTGTCGAAACCTAGAGAAATGGCATAGGCTGGCAACAAAATGACGAAATTAGTATAGCTGATGGCGTTGGTGGAGTTGGAGACGAGGATGACGAGATAGATGGGATCTTTGAGCAAGCTGAAATCGAAGAATTTGTTCTGTTGATCCTTCTCGTCGTGCTCGTGTCGCTTCAGCTCTCTCATCGTCGACTTCCTGGTGAACGTGCTGGAGATGGCGTTCAATGTCAACGTGGACGCACGTTCTGCGTGCAGAACCGACAGCGTGCTACCGTGATACGGTGTACTGACGTAATTGAAAGACGACGTGCTGGGCGAGTGCAGAGGTGACCTCGTTGTTCTGACATATTTGGCGGATTCGACCATGGCACCACCGCGTTCTGGCACGGCGTGCAATGTCGGCGTGCTGTGCATCTGTCCACTGATCTCGCGTCCGGTGGGCATACTGATCTTTCGCGTGCGACCTTGCACTGGTGTGTTCTTGTAATATTCCAAGGCGACGCTCGATGCGCTCTTCGGCACGATCGGCGCGGCCTTTTCGTTCGTCGAGTTGCTCAATGATGCCAGCTGGCTGTTGCCCTTCTCTGTCGCTTGCTCAGGGCTGCTAGTGACAGTCACCGACATAGTCTCTCCATTATCATGCGCCTCGCTATCGTCTGGAGGCCGAGCTGGCACTAAGTGCCATTCTACCGGGTGGTACAGGAGCGCGCTCGCCCAAACATTTAGCGTGACAGCACCCATTATTAACACTGCACCTCTGTAAATAGACACACACACACAGACCTTGATCAACTTTACTAGATTATTATTATCGCTGAAAAGAGATTGACAGTAGAACCAAGTAGAACGACTGCAATTACTATAATGTAAGTATATATTAGGGAGTTGCATTAAAAGTCGCTATTTTTTGTTTTTTAGCATTTATTTTAATAACAAAATGTGTGAATACTTCAATCAAAATATTTGCCCTTGCAAACTATGATTTTTTCCCACTGTTTTGGCAAAAGTTGAATTCCGCGACGAAAGAATGGTTTGTCTTTTGAGCCATTCGCCGTAATTAATTACGGAAGTGTGTATCTTCTAGATCGTGTTACATCGATCGGAACAGATGGTAATCGCTTGGTGCCAAGCAACCCCCTAATACGTGTATAGTAACCGATCGAAAAATTATAAATAAAGATTGTTCTCACAGTAATTTTATTTGTTACATAGCGTTTATCAGTTTTCGATAAATGTGAGATTAACTTATATTTATCCTGTATATTTATCCTCTTCTCTCTCCTGTTATTCTTCATTATTACACATAAGAAGCCATTGTTACAATTTAACATCTGATGAGCGTTTAGATAAAACAAATCAAATTTTAAACTATATAATTAATAATTTAATTATAACGTTTCAATATGTTTGAGAACCGCTGTCTTTTAAATTCGTATCTTTTTTTTAATTTTGATGTGATATTTTCAATTTTGAATGACAGTTTATTAAAAACGAAAATATTATTATAATTTCATTCAACATATCAATTTCATAAAAAACGTTTTAATTATTTGTCAAACAGGTGCATAGACTTACCTGTAACCATATTCTCGTAAAAGAAAACCCAGAACGGGCGGAAGAAATATTGAACCTAACGCACTGCCAGATATGCAGAGTCCGTTAGCGAGTCCCCGAAACCGTACAAAATAAGATGTCACAATATATACAGTCGGAGGAAATGCTAATCCAGCACCCGTACCTACGAATACACCATAACTGGAAATAGAGGAAATTGCATAAGAAATATTTCTGCGTATTATAACATTGATAATATATAATATGCAACGAATATTTTGAAGCTGTGTGCTCGAAAAAGCACTATAAAGCCAATACATTGAATTTTGCACTTTGTATTCTCTTCAGACATTTGAATATTTGACTTT